TCTTTCTCCCCTCCGATTCTCTTTACCTGTAGGGTCCACACTTAGTGGCCCTCCGAATTAGCATTTACCTCCTGATTTGATCCATTGGATGAGTGGTATGTCATCATTTCATATATGATTAGGCGGAGTCCTTGATTGACACACGCTTGCCGATTCAAGACTTAGGGTATATTGAACACTGATACCTGCTCAATGCAAGCACGAAAACCGAGTGTGACCCTTATTGTGGCCGCTACTCTTGCAAATGGAATTGGTGCGGCTGGTCGTCTCCCATGGCGTTTGTCCAAAGAGATGGGTTATTTTGCAAAGGTCACATCATCTGTACCAGAGCAAGAAGGGACACCTACACCTCGGAACTCTGTAATTATGGGTAGAAAGACATGGGACAGTATCCCATCTAAGTTTCGTCCCCTGAAAGATCGAGTCAATGTGGTCGTGTCCCGCGACTTTACCGAAACTCTGTGAGCAGATATATTCTTCAAGGGGAAGGGTGATCTCATCTCTCTACAGAATCGAAAATAATGTCGTGAAGATCAACAGTATTGAAGAGGCGTGCGCATTCCCTTCATCCGATCCCTCTTTCCAACCCCAAATCTATCGCCGCTTCCTCATCGGTGGTGCTCAACTATACCAATATGCTCTTACAAGGGCGTCAGATCAATACATACTTGATCGCATACTGTTGACTCGAATTCTTGACCCGGCATTCGAAGAGTGCGATACTTTTCTCCCGGAGTTCCATAAGCAGCCCGGATCCGATGAAGTGAAGGAAGTGTGGAGACAAGCTGATCACGAAACATTATCTCAATGGGTTGGGTTTGATGTGCCAGAAGGAGTGCAAGAAGAAAAGGGAGTTAAATATGTATTTCAGATGTGGGTGCGAGATGAGAACAATACACAGGATTAAATAGAAACCGTCCGATCTTCTTCATCAGTTGTGACATCAACATAAGCCGAGGAGTCAAGCCGCCGTAAGAGCTGAGAGTCCGGAGTCGGGATGGTCGGGAGGTCGGGAGAAGACTGTACAATTGAATGAGCTAATTTCTACTTCTTACGATGAAAGTGCTTACCGATGAACCGGAATAAATTGGCGATGGTTCGCGGTGTAGGTACCGCGTGGGAGTACTTGACTGAGAGGATCTGTTTGGCCTCCCTGGAAGTGTCCTTGGAACCATCGGAGGCGCCGGAATTCCTGGAGCACTACTTCCTACTCTGGGGCGTCTCGCTTCGAGAGGTGCAGCGAAGCGGAAGAAGCAAAGCAATAGACCAAGCGCGGATGTAACGAAGAAGCCGATGGTGGACATGAAACCTGCAATGTTCGGATATCTTCCTACCACTCTTCTCGTGCCAGATAGTAGCACTCTGCCTCGCACGTATGATTCGACCACAGTTATTTCTCGACCCTCTCCAAGCCCTAGAGACTTCCATCCGTCTCGACGGCCGACCTCAAGGTGACCATATAGTGCTTGAGAGGTGCCTGGAGTCCAATCAGGGAGAATAGTAATGGTCATATCAGTGTATGAAGGGGCTGATGCTATTGGAAGGAGGCGTCGGATGACTCCTCGTTTTGGTTGAGGCAGTATCGCGGCCTGAATTGATAATAAGACTCTTGATAAATAAGAAATGGCATACGTACTGGGCGGTTGGCAGATGCTATGGTTTTGTTGGAGGCAGTTGTGACGGTCAAGTAAGTCATAAAGTTGCCTAGTATGCATTATTAGCGCTTATAGGAATAGACAAGAGTGGACGAGGTTACCTAGTGCTATGTTCGATTCTGTATACGGCACGGTGAGGTGAACCGAAATATCATATGCTTGGTCGTGAACCAGAGGCGGAAACTGGAAGTAAGCCGTTGGTATTGGAGACTCTCTATAGGCAAAGACAGTAAATGAGAGGTAATTAGCATCAAGGGCAGCAAATTAGCATGACGGAATGTTGGCATACCCGTATTGCAGGAAGACCCGGCGCTCCCAAGGTTGTGGAACAGAATTACGAACGATGATTCCGGCAACCAACGATATTAATGCAAGAACTGGTATGCAAATCACGATTATAGCCAGTTGAGGGAGATAGTGCATGGCCGTGTCGATCAGGCTTCGTAGAATCCTTTCTACGAACGAAACTTTCTCTTCCTCTTCTGCTTCCACCTTCATGAAGGGGGGATCTGCCGGAGGTACCCTCGTTGCAGTCGTGGACATTTTGTTTGTTATTTTGCCACCGTCTTGGCTTTTAGCGTCACTTGGTGCGGCGAGGGACAGAACAGGCACCAACCTGCTGCCACCTTAGTTTGGAACTCAGGAATTCAAGGTGACCTCAGACCAAGAATTTTACGATATGAGATGAGAGGTGCTCATGAATATACCGATCTAACAGGTCGATCCGTGTTATGGAAATAAATTAAGAGCATAGCACGAGCCTCACGACTGCAAAGACAAAAATACAAAAATAGATATTACGCTGCACGGGCTTGCAGCTTCGAATCCAACTTGGACTAGAAGTTCGGAAAAGTGTGTTAAGCAGGTGAAAGTCTGCGAAAAAGTTACGTACCTTGACAGCATCCATGTACTCGTTGGTGAGAACCCAGTGTTCTCTCTTGAGACTTGAGGGAATATGAGTGATATGTTAAAGTAATATCTAGATGAAAGACTCACTTTTTACCGTGGATGGCAAGTGCAAGGTCCTTGGTCATGACACCATCATTGTCAATGACTTCAACACAAGCAGCTTCGAGGTCATCACACCACTTGGTAAGCTTCTCGTTCTTGTCCAAGTTGGCACGGTGCTTCAAGCCTCTGGTCCAGGCAAAGATACTGGCAACGGGGTTGGTGCTGGTCTCCTTGCCCTTTTGATACTCTCGGTAGTGACGGGTGACTGTTCCGTGAGCAGCTTCGGCTTCCATCGTCTTGCCATCAGGGGTGATGAGTTCGGAAGTCATCATACCCAAAGAGCCGAACCCTTGGGCGAGGACATCAGATTGGACATCACCATCATAGTTCTTGCAAGCCCAGACGAAACCACCGGATGATTTGATGGCTTGAGCAACCATATCGTCAATCAGACGGTGCTCATACCACAATCCAGCGGCCTCGAATTGAGATTTGTAGCCCCTAGTTATACAACATTAGTAAGGAGACCCAAGAAAGTATCTCTGAACTCACGCCTCATAAATCTCCTGGAAAATATCCTTGAAGCGACCATCATACTTCTTCATGATAGTGTTCTTTGTAGACATGTACAATGGGAGCTTCTTGCTCAAAGCCATCTTGAAGGAAGTATGCGCGAATCAGGAGGTAAATGCTAATTCGGAGGGCCACTAAGTGTGGACCCTACAGGTAAAGAGAATCGGAGGGGAGAAAGA